TAAAATTCCAATTAAAATCTTGGTGGATTATGATTCATGCCTATAATTGTTTTTGTAATAAACCATTTATTACCAATATAAATAACAATACCTGATACTATGTGGCTAGGCCAAAGTCCTTGCTTGTCATTCATTGAAAGTAGACGAGAGTCAGATATTGAGCCTGTTACTAAATCAATACTTTTTTATTTTGTGGGTCGATTCCCTTCCATACTGGAAACAGCAATTAAATATTTGCACATTTTAAGGTGCTTTTACTTAAATACAAGATACACAAAATTTTTAAAATATCTGCCATAGAAAATTTTCCCCAACTACTTCATTCTCAATTTCACTTTCATGAATCTTATGATAGTGTATGGTAACTTTTTTTAACATCAAGTGATGACACTATTCAATAACCTATTGAGATCATTTGCTGACGATCAAGTCTTTCTCTTTTTCTAATAATAAAAAAACCAAGTGATATTTAGATATAACCACTGCTTTGCATTGTATGGTAATACATGAATGTGCATATATCATTTGTCATGAGATTTCAGGTAGAACCATTTCACCACTGCCAATTAGCACTTACATCAATGAAAACCACTTAGTAGTTGCTGTAATGTTGTGGCCTCTACATTTTAAAAAATTAAAATTTATGTTCAAACTTTTTAATTTAGATATTAATGAAGGAAAATGCTGTCTTGAATATAATGTCAAATGAAAAAATAATTATCTGATGTTTTCATTGATTTGCATTATTGAAATGTCATTTTTCAATAAGAGAAATGTCACAGAGGGTTTAGTACTAAAAAAGTTTACAAAAGTTTCTGATATAAAAAACTTGAAACTAAGTAAATGTATCAGAATTTTATGATTTGATGGTTTTATGACGTAATTGTATTTTATAAATATTTCCTTACAATTCTTCAAATTTTATGGCAACATATATAGTTAAAAGGTTAAGTTGTATGTATCCTCAAAAGTTAATGTCAAAGATTCTTGTTCAGTTATATGAATAAGCTATTCCTATAATGTAAGACGCAGTAGTTATTTAGCAGAAAACTCAAGGAGTCTTTTCCACCAAAAATATTGTGTTCAAGGAAATTTCCTGGAATTTCATTGTAATTTAGGGACATACAATTTTGTAAATGTTAAATATAGTTACATTTCTGATTCCTCCCCCTCACTCATTTTAATTTAATAAAACATGTACATTATTTAATGTTGAAAGTTGTTCACAAAATAACCATCTTGTCTTTTAATTTATTTCTAAATGAATCAGAAAGTCAATTTGAAGAAAATCAGTGTTTCATACATGAATTTGTATAAGAATTTCTGTTATTAGAAACCAATACTGTGTGCCAGAACGTGAAATACTCCGAAGGACTGAGTATTCCTGATGTACATGGTACGATTATTAGCGAGGATGAACTGGTTCTTTCATCTCCACAGAGATATTTTTCTTCCCTCCTTTTCTTTGCAGCAGGGAGTTAAATTTTCCTCCTGGCACCAATAATCTGATTGCGTCTTGTAGGAACACAATTATTCTAGGAAAATATTTTACTACTAAGATGTTTTTCTGCATTGAAATTAAGAAAAACTTTAAGAAATTCGAGACAAAGTGAACTCATGAGCAAATGAAAACTATGCTGGGAGGGCTGGGAGCAAATATAAATGTAACTTCAAACAAGAAGCAAATATGATATAAATGTAACTTCAAATTAACTTCTCCTCATAGCACGTCACATACAGTTTTTAACTGTTTTTGACATAAATAAGTAGCTCCTCTTTGCATTCTCTTCATACAATCATATGTATCCTTCTACTGAATTACGCATGTCTATTATTACATTAGGTTTGTAATATCACTTCATGTCCTATATTCAACATCTTTTTAAACTAAAAGGGAAATTCTTACTCTGTTCCATTTGATGAAAGATTATCAACATTTGAGGCCAGTAAACAATTTTTGTATAAAATAACAAACCAAAGAATGCTTAGGGGACAGTTGGGGAACAGGTTCCATTGGGGAATGGCAATCCCCTAAAACACCTTTAATTATATGCCCTACAAAACAGAAATATACCGTAAGTGTTCCTTGGAAAGCTTTGTTCTACCTCCACTTGAACAGTTTATTAGTATCTCCTGTTCTCTGAAGAGAGCTAAGTTTTGTTTTCTGCTGACATAAAACTAAGATAGCTAATTCTCTTTTTAATTTTTAAACTGATTTCAGGGTACTTTAATTGTAGCATGATGCATGTAAGTGTACGTAAAATTCATGTTAAAATTTGCTTACGGTACATTAACAAAAAGGAATAAAAATATTGATGATAGAGTAAGGAGTAATTTTAGTAAGGTTCCAGTTACCCCAGAAATAATTCCATTTATTCTTTATCTGATTTAAAGTCAGGCCAAACCAACTATGTATAACATGCAAACATTGGTGGTTGTTGTTATACTTTCAGAATGCTACATAAACAAACATGAATCACGGAGTGGCCAAAATGGATCCTATTAAAGTCTAAAGAGACTGGAGCAAATGCAAGATGCAAAGGAGAAATGACTGTAATAACAACTAGACTGAAGACCATTAAAAATATGTTAATGGGCTAGATCATCGACGTATGATTCATCTTTAATTTCAAGTCGCTTTGAAAGTGATGATGACATGGAGGATCACTTATGTTTAATTTGCTTCTATCTTCTTAAATCAACGGTAAATACGATTTCGTGTAAAAAGTGTAACAACTGACTGTGCAGATTGTTCTGAAATATTACAACTTCATGCAAAAGAAAATTAATCATTCTAAAAGACAAAAAGAAGAAAGGTATAGAACATTTTTGTTGTTTACAGAAGTACCTATTGGTTTATTGTATGCTGCAAAAACAAAATTAACATTTTTTTGAGATTTAAAGAGTGGAGAAAGATGTAGTTGCTCATGGCTCACAGAGGAGCTCTCATTACTAGAGACTGGAAAAATATGTATAACAAAACAGTAAAATATCTAATGTAAATTGCAAGAATATGTAGCAAATATGTAAAAAGAGACTTATAAGTAATAACAAAATTCGCTCTAATTTACAGAACATTTAAAAAATAAATTTATTAATTTGGAAATTACATTAATAAAATATTTATTAAACCAATTTTAAAAATATATATTGCATCTTCTACTGGATTAAATTTTTTAATAGTACATTTTTATCTTTGAGAGCAATGATAGACATCATACAAACATAGGAATTCAATGACTGGGAAACAGTTATGGTGGCAATGTTTTTGCGGTGCTACATGTCTGTGAGAACCACCATCTCTCAAAAACTGGGATTGAAAATCAAAAAAATCCACTAACTCACTGACACTTTCCACACCTAAAGACAATATTGTCAGAACTCATGAGTACTTGTCACAACATACACGCAGTGCAGTCATCTAACTGTTTTCACCTGGGGTACTTTGCATCTTCAGCATGCAATTCTTTTGTATAAGAAAATCATGTCAATATAAAAAAAAAGTCATTTTTCAAAACTTATTAAAAGATTTTTGTAGAATAAATGTCAATAAAACTGGAATAAAAATAAAATGTTTTGCAAAAAGTGTAAAATAATACAAGTTGTGTAAAAATATGAAATGTAAAATATGGGTATTGTGTTAGGATTGCCTGGTTTTGCAAAGAGCAGAAATTTGAGAAATGAACATAAAATGACAAAAAATATCTCATTACCCTATGCTATATAAATCTTCCCATTACCCTATGCGGGCCTATGGGAGCCAGTTGTGTCAATTTAGTTTTATTTTTTACTCTTGACAACAACATTCCTTTGATTTCTTTGTTTTCCCAAAGGAAAATTCTTTAATAACCGATCTATAATAAAAAGTCCGATTTGAAAAATAATATTTTATACTAATTTCAGTTATTTCCTACATGGGCTCATGTTACATCTATTTCCCCAATATTATTGATATATACACTTATACTGCTTGATTTATAAAAGATTAGGAGATGGAACGCCTAAATAAATTACTAATTTTATAGCAATAGTTCTATTTTTATTTTAATTTAATAATTATAAATAACAGTTAATAAAAATTAGAGTTTATAATGATATTTACATCTGTTTTTACTAATCATTTTATTACATATGTAGAAATCATATGATTATGTGGAAAATTATTTAAGATTGATTTTACAAAAGTTGGACAAACTAAAAATTGAAGTTGTTAAGTGTTTGTCCTCTGCTTTTTGTTTGTCTTTACTAACTTGTTTCAGAGGAACCGGAATGCTGTTCTGTCATGTTCTGCCAGAAATCAAGCCATGTATGTTCAAGCACTTACAATAAAACAAAATGATTACACAAATCAAAACCCCCACCATTATCGAACAAACTAACAAAACCACAACTGTGATAATAAATCAAAGCAAAAAACAAAAATACCTACACACCCTCTTTAAGTGCTTTTTGCACTTGTCCAAGAAGGATGCGATACATTCAACAATTTAGACTTATTAGTCACTTGTAACTTCACTATCTGCACACGATTTCTAGAGTTCAGTGGATAATAGTTATTCAAACTAATGTTTCCTATGGTCTTGGGACAGTAAGTTGATTCCTTCTGGAGGTTAGAAGCTAAAATCTGTATTGTTTTTTCCTTTGCTAATAGTTTTTATTACTTACAGGCTAATATATTATCAAATTTTGTCAAAAACGCTTGTTTCTACCAGCACTAAAAATTCGGCTTGAATATGGGTAAAGGTAGAGAGCCCAGAATTTAAGAAAATGTGCACAGAATCCATCCATAGTACGTCAACACAGTTTTTAACTGTTTTTTGACGTTAAATAAATAAAATTAAATAATTAAATCACGGCTCACCAAACTACCAACACTGGAAGACAGGCACCTGTCAATTGAGTGAACCATAGCAACTGAAGCCTACAACAATTTTTATAATAGTAGTAGTAATAATAATAATAATAATAATAATAATAATAATAATAATAATAATAATAATGAGTAACAGTGGTCACATTTAACATATGTAATACTTGAAAATTTTATTTCATTTAAATGTATTAAGTTTAAATCCAAAGCTATTTTACTTGTCGAAAGATTTAAAAGTATTGCTACTGTGCAGATTATAATTTAATATGATTTAAATCAGAGATAAAAAATTGAGAAATGTACAAAGGACACAATCAAAATGGTAATATTGCAAATGGTCCTGGAACAAAGGGTTTCATGGGCACTGCAACAAAAAAATAAGTTTCTAAATTGACACAGATTTTGCTCTGAATATTTTAATGAAAAAAAATTATTGTTCCTAACATTAACATACACATTCAATAATAAAACATGCTTTTGACAACTAGGTAATAGTTTCAAAACGGTTGAAATAGTATGTGCATATTTACTGATTTATGTTGAAAGACATTTGAATGTTAGACATTACCACAAGCAGATTTATAAATGTTACAAATATTAATAGTCCTAAGGAATCAAAAGTATGAAATATAATGAACTAAAAACAGCCAAACCTGTCTACAACAATGAAATTAGGAAGGTTGTTTTGAGCACGGCATATTCAAAAAACATTGCAACATGCAAAATCCAGCCCGAGGGATGTATAGGAAAGTCAGGGAAAAGACGGATGGATAAATTTTATAAAGATGCAAGGAAAATATATCACAAAGCAGCTTAGAGGGCAGGAGTAAGAAGAATGGAAGTCCAGACTTTCCAATGAGTTGCAGGGCTGCTACAGTTGCCACTGACAATAATCCAGTTTTCCCATCCTATTCCATCCTTGAGGCCTATACTTGTTTGCTTCATGTTGATTGTCAGCAGTGTGTGCACCACTGACACCATCTAATGTAGAAGAATTTTCCCATTTTGTTCCTGTTATTGTCATTACTTGAACAGATGACAAAGCAATAACCACCAAGAGGCAATGACGTCTATGTGCAAAGTCCTTTAACCTCTGTTTTACTTAGGGACTGCTTTCTAAGCATGGTATTAGATACAGGTACAACTACTTAAATAATCTTGCTGAAAGCATAGAATTAATAGCATAGCTGATATTAAAAAAAGCAACCATGTGTGCGAGTTGATATAATTCACACCAGCTTTGTAAGCTGTAGGTGTCAAATGTCTCTTCCACTTTCACCATAATATGTCTTACCTTTGTAAGTTTTTGCCAAGAGGGAAAAGAAATTGTACATGCTGTCTTCCCTCACTTTGAGAACCAGCTTCTGTCTTTCATGCTCTTTCCTTTTCCACTACTATGCTCTAATGACAGGTGGAGGGGGCTATAATTGTGCCAGAAGGTGCTTCACACTGAAAGTTTGCTTTCCGTACTCCTGTCACATTTTTCAGTTACCCCTATTCTCCAGTTCCCTCACTTCTTTCTTTTGCCAAGGAGGGAACCTGGTGACTTTTGATTTGTCTCGCCCCCTCTTCCACCTGTTGTATTCGCTTGTTCAGGGTGTGAATTCCCTTGACCGGCACTTCCTGTAGCTTGTGCTGTTGCTGCAGATGCACGTGGCGTCCAGCGCAGCGTCTTCTCTATGGCTTCCTCCAATTTCTCAACGCGCGCTTCCAGCTGCTGCAAAGCCTCACTGTCAACCATCTCCTCGCTTCCTCCTCTCGGCGAGGGCACCCCGTGCTCCTCCATCAGAGCTGCCCTCTCCTCCACCTGCTGCACTCGCTCCTCCACTGCGATTCGGAGCGTGCGGATGGCTTCATCTTGTTCCTGCAGCTGCTGCTCAAACTGGCTCACAGCCTCGCGCAACGCTGACGTTGTCCTCTCCTCGTGCTGCTGCAAGGCCTCCTGCGTCCGTCGCTCAGTCTCCTGCTCCTGCAGGCGCAGAGCCTCCTGCACACACTGCAGCCCCTGCGCCAACTCCTGAAAGGCGTTCAGGACACGCAAGTCTGCGTCTCCAACATTTTCTACGTTTTCCGCCATGTCTGGTCGCCTCTGGAAACAAATGCAAACTAGTGTAACTATTTTAGTCTTTATCTGACAAAATATAGCTAGACACAAAATTGCATTAAATTAACAACAGAACGCTTTTCTAATGATTGCTCGACCTGCACTAGAAGTACAGATTTTATTTCAGAGCAGGCATTTTGCTGCAGGTTGGCAATTACTGTAGAATTTCAAGGTTTGTCATGTCTAACCAAACAATTAAAAATCCTTTAAATTTAATTATTTGTTTGTTCAGACAAGATTGATAATTTAGACATTTGATTTTTTTATATTAAAAAAATTAAATTTATAACTTCACGATAATTATTAGTTAACAAATCTTAATCACAAAATTTAATCGTTCTTAAATAAATAATTTGTTTTTGAAACAAAAAGGGGGACATTTTTAAAACTTGCAATCATACAACACCAAAAATCATGACTTAATAATACACATAGTTTAAAGCCGAAGCGGTGACACAAAGAAAAGAGTGGTTGTGCATTTGAAATGTATTACCAAGTAAGTCAATAAATCAATAAAGTTGCAATGAATACACGTAAGTCAAACAACAATGCATTACTACTCAGGTCCCTCAAAACACATCAATAAAAACAAATCTATCTCAAAATAAATCAATAAAATTCTGCACAAATACAGCATGACTTACACAGGACTGTCTTTTGGTTAGGGCACAGGGATCTCAAAGATTTGGATCCTAACTATTGTCTGAAAAATGTATCATGTAATTATGTAATATTCATTCTGAAATGTCAATTTAAAAATTCAAATGTGTTAATCTTTCCTTTTTTTGTTAGCAAACAAAATGTTAAAAAGATTATTAGATAGGATGGGATTTTATCCCATTAGGGTTCAAATAATTTTATGTTACTTCAACTTCCCATTAGAGAACAATAATTCATTAGAGGGTTGTTTGATAGTTGTTTATCATCTGCGGGGCACCTTCAATCACAGTGCCTGAGGCATGAGCCTCATCAGCCTGTGCCCAAAGCGCAAACCTTCTCCGTGATACTCAGGAGAGATTTGTAATTGTAAATGATTCACTGATTGATAACTACAAACTGATTCACTGAAAGAATAATTCAGTTTATGCAGGATAAGCAATTCCAGTTGAGAGAGACCATGAGATAATTATTGCTAAAGAGATATTAAATAATAATGTAGTAAATAGAGAAGGTGACTTAAGGCTTGTTTATTCTCAGAGTCAAGTGAATTGCTTTCGTATACTATTAGAAGTAAACTGGAATTTGTAATTACTGGGATCAGTAATAATGATGCTGCCTGTTGCATTGAAAATCTTAGGTCTCTGGATAGTTTACTGTGTGTATACAATGACAACAGGGCCATTTTAACAGCATTGGAGACCCTTTGGCTAGGTTAATTTGGGGATCCCTAACCTTACTTTCATGAATCTCTCCCTCCCAATTTCCACGCTGGAGAGAAGGAGGGAAAAAAATTGTATTTTGTTAAAAAATTTTTCTTAGTGTTTTGATTTAACATTTTTCAAACAAAAAATTAAACATATATGTATAAGTAATTAAGAATCAGGTGTATAGTTACATTGAAAAAGACACAAAATTAAATAGTTTTAATTTTTTATTGAATTGTACAATATAAAATTGAACCATCAATCACCAACATTCCATATTATAAACATTATCCAATGATTTGCTATACATTGCTCGGTTATGCCAACTTTTTGCATGTAGATTAATCATACATCACTTTTTTCAATATGTTTATAATTTTATTTTTGAAACATTTAGTATTAAATATTCCTTCAATAACTGTCAGGTGCCCTTGAACATTGACAGATCTGGCCCTTGGCTCGTGCATTAATATGGCACTGAATGACATTACTTAAATAATTAATAATTAGTGACCTAATATTACACAAAAGTGATGATTGATTGCAACTCAAGTTGTTGCAATTAAAAACAATTCGATGAAACTTGGTCCTTTGAGAATGCATTTTTTTATATTACTATTCTTTTATTTTGTTCTATTACTTCTGATTGTTGTTGTTGTTATTGTTGTTCTTTCTCACTTGTGCAATGCCTAAACGAAGGAATTTCATTTTGAAGGGGAAATTACACAACTTTAGCTGTTTGGATGATGAAGGTTATGAATAGCTAGCATGGGAGTTCAATGTAAGGTAAGCCATTCCACTGCAATGTATTGGAAAAATTAGGATTTGTTATGGCATCTGTAGAAGAGGTTATTCTACCTATTTTTTTTTAAAAAAAAGAAAGGTACATCATTTTTAAACACGAGTTTTTCACAATCTTCTTTTTACTTTCTCGCGCGCAAGATGGAACTCCTTAAGGAGAGACGGTTGTGTAATTCTGCGGGAAAAAACAACAAACAAACAAACATGGTTACAAAAATGTGGATAAATCCAGTTGCTAAATTTAGAAAAAAATCTTCTAACCCGTGGTGTAGCCAGAATCCATGTTTTGTGGGTCCTTGAAAAGAAACAGAAAAGTCGATTGACGGCAAAACGTCTATCTGACCTTCGGAACAACGCTAGCGGCTAAACCGTTCAGCCGATTTTCTCCAAAATTGATATTCTCCGATCAATCTGGCTGATGTCGTGGCCCCATGAATTTGAAATTGATATTTTAATTTTGGGAGGTACTTTGCAAGATGCCCATGGTACACTTTCAAAATATAGATCCATTATTTTTATTTAAATTTTGTTGTTGGATAGTGTAAATGACGTTTAAAGGCGGCTCCGCACATGCGGCATTCGGCGAATCCCGAGCAACCGCTCGCCGAATCCCAAGTCGTGTGGACGGATTGCTCGCTATTCGCCGATTGCCGAACATTCGGTATTCACTCTACCCACCGCGTGTCGGTCTTTAGAACTCATCAAAGGGAGCGAACATTCGCCGAACACAGTAACTGTTCAGGATTGGACGAGCAGTATATGCCGAATGTGTGGAGCCGTCTTAAGTGAATGGTGCAGGTTTCATTTTCATTAAAAACTAAGATTTTTCGAAAATTACAAAAATTCAAAATTCCTTTCGGCGTCTTCATATAATTAAAATATTAACGATAGAGTTTTTTACCTTAATAAAATCTGTTCCTTAAATATATATTTTAAAGTAAGGTCATGTACAAAGTTTCGAAAATTTCGAAGCTGCCAATAGCGTGCTACAAACATCATAGCTCCAGCCCAATGAATATGCGATCAAAGGGGGAATTCAGGAAAAAACAAACAAACCTGAAGCTTCTCACCGATTCTATATGTTTTTCAGGATGGTGAAGAAATATCAGCTTCACAGAGAATCACAAACATACAAATTTCGCTATTATAATATTTTCTTATATTTCGGAAACTATTCAATTTATAAAGGTAACCTTCATAAAAAAATAAAGTAGACAAAATTTCCTTCACAATGCAATGCAATTTTAACTCTAATTTTTTGAGAAACGGTTCAGGCGCTAGAGCGCTTTGGAAAACGGTGATCTCTTGGCTAAAACGGGCGAAAAGCTCTTCCCATGGCGGTACTCTGGTTTGATTACAAAATGCTTGAAAACGACGATGTGACTGAATCGATTGCATTGTTAAATGATTAACACAACACTACTCGCGTAACCAGAAAGGAGATAGTTACTCGCAAGTGGTATTTCTATACTTCAGCCTTAATAGATAACCAAACTACGACGGAAGGCCGATAGGAGCACCATAGAGTACTGTGGGCGTTTAAGTCTCCAACGACAAGGAAAGGTGGTGTGGTAGCTAAAGAGATTGCATTTGAATTATCTTCGTCCGATACTGCATGTCCGGTCGGGAAGTAAATATTGCAAAGGGAAGAGAGGGATAGACCGTTGACATACACACACACACGATTTAGAGAGCGAACTGGATTGTGATTTTTTTGTCAAAACAGATGGTCACGGGCTATTTCTTCCGACGGAACATGCGAATCGGGGGACTGAAGATAATTCAAATGCAATCTCTTTAATATCACACACCTTTCCTCTCGTGGAGACTTACACGCCCACGTCCTCTATGGAAGCTCCGCTCGCTCTTCCCGTATTTTGGTTATCTTATTAATGCTCAAATATAGAAATCCACTTGCGAGTAACTATCTCCTTCGGTTACGCGAGTAGTGTGTGTTAGTCATTAACAATGCAATCGATTCAGTCACATGTCGTTTCAAGCATTTTGTAATTCAAACCAGAAGTACGCGGCATGCGGGAAAGAGCTTTTTCGCCCGTTTTAGCCAAGAGATTATACGTTTCCAAAGTCGCTTCTAGCGCTGAACCGTTCTCAAAAAATTAGAGTTAAATTGCATTTGCATTGGAAGAAATTTTTTTCTACTTTATTTTTTTGAGGTTACCATTTATAAATGTGAATAGTTCCGAAAGTAAGAAAACTATTTTAATAGCGAAATTTGTATGGTTTGTGATTCTCTGTGAAGCTGATATTTCTTCACATCCGAAAACATATAGAATCGGTGAGAAGCTTCAGGTTGTTTGTTTTTTCCTGAATTCCCCTTGATCGCATATTCTTGGACTGGAGCATGAATGTTTGTAGCATCGCTAATTGGCAGTCGAAATTTTTCGACAACTTGTACATTGACCTTACTTTAAAATATATTATTTAAGAACAGATTTTATAAGTAAAAATCGTCTATCGTTAATATTTTAATTATATGAAAGACGCGCGAAAGGTTTGAATTTTTGTGACTTTCGATAAAACTTTAGGTTTTAATAAAATGAAAGCTGCACCATTCTTTTTAAGGCGCTCCACACATTCGGCATATACTGCTCGTCAATCCTGAACAGTTACTGTGTTCGGCGAATGTTCGCTCCTTTGATGAGTTCTAAGACGACACGCGGTCGGGTAAATGAGAAACCGAATGTTTCGGCCAATTCGGGAATAGCCGAAGCAATCGTCTCACATCGACTTTGGGATTTCGCGAGCGGTTTGCTGCGGATTTCGCCGAAATGCCGGCATTGCGAGCGCTTTAACGTCATTTACCACATATCCAACAACAAAATTTAAAAAATAAAATTAGGATCTATATTTGAAAGTGTAACCAGGGCATGCTTGTAAAGTACTCAAAATAAAATATCATTTCAATTCATGGGGCCGCGACATCCAGCAGATTGATCGGAGAATATCAATTTTGGAGAAAATCGGTGCTGAACGTTTAGCCTGTTTAGCGTTGTTTCGAAGGTCAATATGACGTTTTGCGTCACTCGACTTTTCTGTTTCTTTTCAAGGACCCAAAACAGGATTCTGTACACCACGTTTAGAAGATTTTTTTCTAATTTAGCAACTGGATTTACACATTTTTGTAACCATGTTTGTTTGTTTGTTGTTTGTGTTTCTCCGTCAAGTTACATCACCGCGTCTCCTTAAAAAGGAGTTCCATCTGCGCCGCGAGAAGTAAAAAGAATTGGTGAAAAACTCTGTTTAAAATGATGTACCTTTCCTATAAAAAAATAAAATAGTAGAATAACCTTTCCTACAGAGCCATAACAAATCCTAATTTTTCAATACATGCAGTGAATGGCTTACCTACATTGAAGCTCCTGATAGCTATCATATTCTAATCATCAAACAGGCTTAAAGTTGGTTAATTCCCTTCAAAATGAATTCCTTCGTTAGGCCATGTGCACCAAAGTGAGAAAGAAACATAACAACAACAACAATCAGAAGTTAATAGTAAGAAAAACGAGAATAGTAATATAAAAAAAAATACTATCTCAAAGGACAAGTTTCATTCGAATTGTTTTTAATTGCAAAACTTGAGTTGCAATCAATCCATCACTTTTGTGTAATATAGGTAATAATTTATATTATTTATTCAAAGGAAGATACTTTCTCAGTTTACATATTAAGTAATGTCTTCAGTGCCATATTAATGCACGCAGCAAGGCCAGATTGTCAATGTTCAAGGCACTGACAGTTTTGAAAGGAATATTTAATACAAATGTTTTCAAAAATAAAATTATAAAACATATTGAAAAAGTGATGTCAATGATTAAATCTACCACAAAAAGGTTTGCATAACCGAGCAGAATGTATAAAGGCAAATCATTGATAATGTTTTATAATATGGAAGTTGTGATTGAGGTTCAATTTTATATGTTACAACAATTCAAAAAAATTTAAACTATTTAATTTTGTGTCTTTTTCAATGTAACTATACACCCTATTCTTATTACTTATGCATATATGTTATTTTTTTTTTGAAAAAGTGTTAAATTAAAACATAAGAAAAAATTTTTTTAACAAATTTTAACAAAATTTTTTCCTCCTTCTCTCCAGCTGGAAATTGGCGAGTGGAAGATTCATGAGTAAGATTATGGGATCCCCAATTAACCTAAGCAAAGGGTCTCCCATGTCTGTTAAAATGCGCTGTTGTCATTGTATATCACCAGTAAAAATACCAGAGATAGATTTTCAATGCAACAGCAGCATCATATTACTGATTCCCCAGTAATTACAAATTCCAGTTTATTCTAATAGTAATATCAGAAGCTTTTTCACTTGACTCTGCCGAATAAACAAGCTCAAGTTCACCTTCTCTATTTACTACACATTATTTTAATATTCTCTTAGCAATATTATCTCAGGTCTCTTCAACATGGAATGTTATCCTGCATAACTTGAATTATTCTTTCAGGTGAATCAGTTTGTAGTTAATCAATCATAATCATTTTCAAATTACAAAATCTCTCCGAGATCACGGAGGAAGGTTGCGCTTTGGGCACAGCTGTTGAGCTCGGCTCAGGCACTGTGATTGAAGGCTTGCCCCGCAGATGATAGAACAAACTATTTAAAACAACCCTCTAATGAATTATTGTTCTCTAATGGGGAAAGTTGAAAAGTAACATAAAATTATTTGAAACCCTATATGGATAAATTATCCCATCCTCTCTAATAATCTTTTTACATTTTTGTTTGCTGCTAACAAAAAAAAGGGAATAGAATTACGCACATTGAATTTTTAAATTGACATTTTTCAGAATGGAATATTACATAATTAAATGGATACATTTTTTTCAACAATAGTTTAGGATCGCAAAATCTTTGAAGATCCCGTGCCAACCAAA